TTGCTGTAAAACAAATAAACTATCTAAACAATCATTGTTATTTGCAAGTGGGAAAAGGGAGAACTGAGATTTATAAAACATGGGAATAGGTACTGTAAACCCACCACTGTGACCAGTATACAACTGTATATCAGTATAAGACACCTTTTTTATATAAAAAAAGTAATTGAAATGTAATTGAAAAGTAATTGAAAATACATACCGTATAAGTAGAATTTTTAGCGAGGATTTAATTTTGGCATTATTAGCGAGGATGCTGACATCGCTAAAATTGAATATCGCTAAAATTTAACTGCGTATTATTTGCAATAGTTTCTTTAGTTATCATTTTAAAATCGCTAAATTTACTTCTCGCTTAAAATAAAATACCATATTTCAGGAAGAAATCGCTAAATTTGCGTCTCGCTAAAATTTCCACTTATACGGTAGCATTTTTTGAAATGTAATTAAATACATTCAATTACTTGTAATTGAAGGCTTGCTCAAATACAAATTACTTCCAATTACTTTGAAAAATGTAATTAATTACACTCAATTACATTTCCTTTATTCAATTACCCCATCCCTGCATGGAGCACACGTCGGTTGTGACCAGTTGGCAGGGGATGCTCACTCCTCCATGCATGGGGTCTCTGCCCACTTCCGATGTTTAGAGTTTCCAAGTTTTTTTCTACAGGTTTGTGTTGTTCAATGCTTGAACACGTATACGGATGTTTCTATTACATGTTTATCCTTATCTTTCATTGGTAAATCCAATATATTCGCAGCAGACTAATAGTAACCTTTTTTGTATGGTAAACTGTTTGCTGTAAGCTTGTCGATACTTGCCGCAAACTTGTTGTAAACACAAAGGTTTTTAAGTCTCTCATAGTTTCTTTAGCTTCTTTGCATCAAATTTGCAGCAAGGTCTGTAACAAGATTGCATCACTGTCTGTTACAGACTTGAAACAAATGTTTGCAGAAAGACTTTGACTGAATGAATGAATTTGGTATTAATAAAATCAAAAGTTGAAATCTAGATTATAATAAGGGTGTTACCGATTGCCTTAAGCACACTTAACACTTCTCAAACAACAAGGGTTATCCACATTATGCAGTTACATGTATGCCTAAGAGAGCCTACATTGATTATATACATCAAGAAATATGACCATGGAGAAGCATGCAGTTTTATTTTTATGAGCTCAGTTTGACCAATTTTTCTTAAACAAGTATTGAAGGTTAACTTTATTCCGTTCTTATTTTGTTTTATAAGAAATCATAGTTTTAATATATATTCAACAGAAATATAGTTAAAAGGTAAGATCAAAACGGGAAACTATCAAACGAAAGTAAATAAATGTTATAAATTGTCAAAAATTTGAAATTAAGGTCAAGATCTAGTAAATAACTTGAGACTAATTTTTTGGTGCTAGATCCATTATGACGTCATAATCAATTTGAACTTTCTTTTTTCCCGTACTTTACGGCTTAAGCAGAGTTATGTAGAAAATAGGGTATTTTAATGTCATTCAATTTGAAATCATATGAAAAGTAAACCGGATACCTATATTAAATTTGATATTGATTTAAAGAAGAGGCCATGAACATACTAATTAACGTTTTTTTAGAGACTGTAGGCAATCTAGATACATTTCCTTTGCCGAATACGAAACAAACTCCTATTTTCATGACTGGTTTTCTTAATTTTTCATTGAAAATGACAGTTTAAACTACAGTTTTGCATCTTGTTTACCTACAAATTATGCCCCGAAACACCTTATGTGACCGAGCTAAAGTTGTAAAGCATAAAACAAAGGAATTTATTTCTCAAATTTGATCAATCTGTAGGCACCTTTCATTTACTAGATCTTGACCTTAAGGTAAGTCACTCGTCAGCTTTTTAGAAAAGTTCACGCAGAAGCTTTTACTTCAAAACTACTTATCAAAATTCAATTTTTATAACATATTTAAATTCAACAATTTAAATTTTTTAACATTCAATGAAAAAACTGCTCAAAAATTTACAAAGAAGCAAGATTTATGAGGGACTATTTCTTTTGGTGGAAGGATATTTAGCAGAAAATTCTGCAAATCTGCACATTTATAAAATTTAATGTAATGGAAATTTAGCCTCACATACTTTTACTCGGAGAATATTTTCCGTTTTGATATTGCTAAAAATATTTAATATAGGTCTTAATTTATATTTTTAGACTAAGTTTTGCACCTTCCCTCAACAAACTTTTCCAAAAAATGAAAATATATTAAAGAAGTCAAGGTCAAATTTTTACCATTTTTTGCCTGAAAATCACATATTTTGACAAATATTTCAAAATTAACATCACTGACACCACCTTTTTCTTTCATTATTTTAAACTACTCGATACTTGTGACTGATCAGCACTCAAGTCGTAAAAAGTTTGATATAAGAAAATTTTTAATTGCCTATTAAGTTTTTTAATACCCCAAATATGTTATTTTTTAGTGCAAAAAGTCACACAAGAATTTACGCGCATTAATTTGCAAGATTTGTTTAATGATAAATATTTATCAAACTATTTTACGTAAAATAAGGTTATATTTATTGCCATGCTTACATCTAATCAAATATAATAAGGGTTAAAGTAATTAACCAAAGAGATGAAATTTAAGTGCAAAAAGGTCAACTTAAATGTACCGTAGATCAGTAGGATGCACACTGACCCCCTATTTTCTTTACGAATTTGAGTTACACTTTATGAGTACTTATCCAAAATATACTTCTCAAAAAATCCTTGATACCGGTATAACAAATTTCAGGAGTGACTTACCTTAATTAGGTCTATGTCATAGCGAAAAAATAAACTGTTGCCCCCGTTGCATATGCAGTCTCAGTTGCTGGTAATAGAGTGTGATTTAGCAGTATTACCTTCGTTATAAATTTTCCTATACCTGCTGTAAAACAAGAATAGATATTGGTTACCCAATATTCAAGACATTCGACTTTTACATTAAAACTCGAATTTAAACCGCTCATATTTTTGACTTAAATAAAAGAAAATGCACTTGTTGTGGAACTGATGTTTAGTTCATGAGTCCATAGCAATACTGTCGGTCAGTCTCCTAACAAACACAGTGTCTGTACGACTAGTTAGCCCTAGTAGATCTGCACACGTGCGACGCAAACAATCAATGAATAATATTTTTACTCAGAAGAAAATACACAACAATTAACGATCAATAATCATGAATATAAAATACATGTGATTGGAGAAGAGATTTATCAATCGAAGAATGACTTGTCTATCTTTCTTTAAAAAAGACTGAGTGGGTGGCTAGGGTAAGAATAGGAATATTTATTTCTTTGCATTTAGGAGAGAAGAGTGATTTCCTAAGTTTTTTTTAACGATACTTATGGTTTCTTTGACGTTTAATTATAGACATACCATTATCTTTATCATTTGCAGTAGTACGTGTTTTATTTACTTATCATGAACATGATGAATGGAACTATATTTTGTAGGAACAATTTTGTGGAGTAACCCTGACTATAGTTATATATCTTAAAAAGATAGATTCACTGATCGAATACCGTATATACTCGCCTATAAGTCGGATTTTTGGGAGTTAATTTCTGGTCCAAAACTCTATGTCCGACTTATAGGCGAGCTATAAAATGAATGGTATTAGATGAGGTCAGTCTCTATGATATAAGCTTATTAAATACAACCGACTTATAGGCGGACCGACTTATAGACGAGTATATACGGTATATTAAAAATGGGTAGTCGAGGGCGTTGTGAACGGCTTGCAAAGACATAGATTGATAAATTGATTTTATTTTGTTTAACGTCCCTCTCGAGAATTTTTCACTCATATGGAGACGTCACCGTATGCCGGTGAAGGGCTTCAAATTTTGACCTTTACTCGGCACTCAGGGCCATTGAGCAGTGAGGGATCGTTATCGTGTCAACGCCCGCCGCTGACACGGGGCCTCGCTTTTTAAGGTCTCATCCGAAGGACCCGCAACTTTCACTTCAAAGTGCCGAGCGCATGGCGAAGGAACAGTTGCTACCCATTTTAACGACTAGGTCAGTCGCGGCCGAGATACGAACTCACGACCTCCCGATCACAGAGCGAGCGCTCTACCGACTGAGCTACCGTAAACGGTGCAAAGACATAGAAGGATTAAATGAAGAACTCAAAGAAGCAACTTAAGGGGTAGTCATAGAACGGTTACGTCTCGACTTTGTAACAAGAAAACGATCTTGCCTAACCGTCGTTTTTCGTGGACGTTCTGAGTGCTGACAATTACTATTGTAACGTGCAACGCAGCCGAGCTTTGTCTGTGTGTGGTGATATTTCTTGTATCACCGAGGCGTTACACTAGGTTCGTTAACCTGTTAACTCAGGTTTTTGTTGACCAAATAAAATTACAATCAAATATTTACAATGAAATAATACAGTAGATCAATGGGTTTCTTCTTGATTGGATAACCACTAGCTGTGGTCAACGGGTGTCTCCCGTAAGTAGATTTCGTCAGTCCTGCCACTTCTCACTGTACTGACTCCTGGCACGTCCCCCACTTCTCACTGTGGTATGCCACCTCTCTCAATCTATACTACCAAGTGACTGCCTTATTCAGGTCTTACGCTTTCGGGTAGTCTACAACACTTACCTGTCTATCCCCCGCAACTGTCTGCCTTATTCAGGTCTTATGACCGTGTGTAAGAGGAGAAACAAGCTAAGGTTTCACAACTCCGTCACCAGAGAGGTTTCAAAGGTACTGCAATACAATTAGTATTATCCTAATGCAGTCTCAGTATAGTGGCAGATTCATACTACTTGTATGATCGTAAAATTAATATTTTTCAGTGTTTAAGAAATTGAAAGATAACGTAGGTCTAACGTTTGTACGAAACTAAATAACAACCATTTCCGTTTCACTACCCTCCCCTCAAGATTATATGCGTCCCGCATATGATAAACTATTTACAATATTAACATCTATATACAATTCTGTGCAATGCCCGACAACTTGTGACTCTTTTATACAAGACATAGTCTTCAATCCACTGTGGTTTTGGTGTGTCAAATAGATGGCCCGTCACAACTTCGTCAACCCCAGCATTTGGTGTGTAGCTTGGTTTGCCTTCGTCTGGAAATCTAACTTTAGACCGTGCGCCGTACTCGTCAAATGACACATCTCCTGACATACCGGTATTATCAGTACTGTGTGTTTCATATCCAGACTCTTGGCTTGCCGCATTTGTCTGACCACAGTCACTGGTTGGCGTTCTCATTCTTTCTAAGATCTTCTCCATCCGCTCTATAGTTTCTGATACTTTCTTAGACGAATCCATGGTCAACAAAATCCCGACGCTTGCCACCAAATAATGTAACGTGCAACGCAGCCGAGCTTTGTCTGTGTGTGGTGATATGTCTTGTATCACCGAGGCGTTACACTAGGTTCGTTAACCTGTTAACTTAGGTTTTTGTTGACCAAATAAAATTACAACCAAATATTTACAATGAAATAATACAATAGATCAATGGGTTTCTTCTTGATTGGATAACCACTAGCTGTGGTCAACGGGTGTCTCCCGTAAGTAGATTTCTTCAGTCCTGCCACTTCTCACTGTACTGACTCCTGGCACTTCCCCCACTTCTCACTCTGGTATGCCACCTCTCTCAATCTATACTACCAAGTGACTGCCTTATTCAGGTCTTACGCTTTCGGGTAGTCTACAACACTTACCTGTCTATCCCCCGCAACTGTCTGCCTTATTCAGGTCTTATGACCGTGTGTAAGAGGAGAAACAAGATAAGGTTTCACAACTCCGTCACCAGAGAGGTCTCAAAAGTCCTGCAATACAATCAGTATTATCCCAATGCAGTCTCAGTATAGTGGCAGATTCATACTACTTGTATGATCGTAAAATTAATACTTTTTAGTGTTTAAGAAATTGAAAGATAACGTAGGTCTAACGTTTGTACGAAACTAAATAACAACCATTTACGTTTCACTATAATATGTCACCTTGGAGATAGTATTCTATGCTAAATTATGCAAAATGCATATGGTACATATTAGAAAGTCGAATGTACCATCCGCCATAAAACAAGGCGGCAATTTTGCCCCTTTCACAATTCAAATATTCATATTACTTGCTCAAAATGCGGAGAGCGCAATATGCGCCCAAATTGGTGAAATTCACCAACATTCAAACTGTAACTTAAAATTGCGACAGATGCGCTCATGATCCAATTCAAAAAAGTAAAAGTACGAGGGTCGTTAGAAAAGTTCTCGGACACAATGAATTACGGAAAATCTATTGTGTACTGTTAAGTATGACCTATGTCTGAATAAATTCCTACATTTTGTTCATTGGTATGTAAAAATCAGGTCCATATAATAAAATCTTGAAAATTTACAACGATTTTTATTATGAGGTCATAGGATTCAAGGAGCATCACTTGACGTAAGGCGACGTGGCAACCAGATTTGAACTGGTTAAGCTTTGTCGCATTTCTATAAATCTTTCATTTCTTCAGATTTTTCTGATGTTTTTTCTACTTTAAAATTGATTATCTTTATCAAGACATGTTACTTTTCTTCAATATAATGTTTCTTTTACTGATTTGGATATTATTGAGATCTTACAAAAAGTGTATGCAGTTCATCGATCAGGTATGGAAACATTGCAAAAAATATAGGCGCAAGGCAACGTCCATGCGATACGTGGGTATTGAAGTATCGATGGAGCTAATCATTCAAAATGTTAATCCTTCCATTCTTATGAAGCTACAACAATTTGAAAACTTGTCCTTTGTAGGTGTAGGAAATTCCCGGCAGCATCTTATATATTTTAATCTCTTTTTAGACATTTTCCAGTCTGCATACGTAATTTTTACGTAGTGCAGTGCTCCATTACGCTCAATGACGTTCCGATTTTTGGCTGTGTTTTTAAGCGTTGACCAGTTATAAACGGCTATAAAACAGTCATATACCCTCCAATTTAGATCAAAATTTCTCCCAGTGACGTTTCATGAATACTTTAGCGGCAGGTAAAATATCATAAAACTCTTTGCGGTACAATTGTGCAATTTTTAATTTTAATAAAGAATTTTGTGATGTAAACGTGCCAAAATGTAGCATGCTCCGTGAAGCACGTTTAATCAAAATAAAAAAGCTTTTTATTTTTTCAATAATCATTGGAGAGCACCATATTCTTGTATATTTATTGGGAAAAAGGTAAAGATTTTATCTGGAAAGTTTGATCTGTTTCGAGGAAATAGCGCGCTCACAATAGAACTTGTCGGCGAACTTTTCTAACACCCCTCGTAAAGTTCGTCAAATGCGCCCAATTCAAAACATTAACGGTTGCGTCAAATGCGCTCATGATCCAATTCAAAGTAGTTCAATCAAATTATATGACAACACATATATATATAGACATCACCTAACCATGACAAGCACAATCATTTCAAGGAAAGGTCCTGGTTTGAAATTAACAAGATAAAAAATGTTTCAATGCATCCTTTACAGTATTAAAAAACAAATCATTGCCCAAATCTGTCATGTGAATACCATCTGGGCGGAACAAATTCCCTTGATTTGCCGTTATATCTGGGTACCTAATAGCTGCTCCATTTAACTTATTTTATACAAAAAATGCTACTGAACTATCGATTCTTCGCCTACATTTTTCTCCCTAAGTGTTAGCTACTACATTTGACCAGTTTGTTCGTTGCAAGATATGAGACCATATAGTAATGCAATTTGGTAATTGCTCTTTTATTTTTGCCAAATTAGCCTTCATCATCATTTGTATTCCTCTTAAAGTGTTATGTTGTTGTCCAATGTTGTTCCCCCCACAGTGAATAATAATGATATGTGGAGTTTTGTTACTAACTAATAAGAAGTTTTAAGGTTAGGTTTAATTGCTCCCATACCATTCAAAGGATTCCACGCTACAATATTTTTGTTTGGCCTAATCTCAGGTCCGACGGATTAGATTTGACTGCATAGCTATGTGCCCAGTGCACAATTGAAGATCCTATAAACCCAATGACCCCTGTGGAAAATCAATGCAATGCACCATAATTTCCATCAATTACCTAAACACTTGTATTTAAGTATTAAAGGACGAATGTATGATTTATATGTTGTCGATTTCCATCTACCCATTTGTTGAATTTCCCTTCCTCAGACAACCCTTCCAAATATAAGTGAGTAGCACCCCCAATGCGAAATAGGTGGGTTTTGTAGTTTGAAGTTTTGATATCTAGAAATTTAGGATTTATGTAACATGCTAGAAAACTGAAACTGTATCAATGGCTTTGAGTTAAAGTGAGCAAAATATTCATCCCTTTCAATTTTACTAGACAGCAGGGAAAACTCCTTCAACAAATTTACCAACAGTTCCGATTCTGACGTGTAAGGCACCCAAACTGAAGCTCCAGAGCCTAATTGGTCCGTTTTGGAACTTTTTATAAACACTGATATTCCACTGTCTAAATTCTGAATATCATCCCTTCTTAGATCATAATTTCATTTACTCTCAACAATTCAAAGAATGCCACCGTTCACGGTAGCTCAGTCGGTAGAGCGCTCGCTCCGTGATCGGGAGGTCGTGAGTTCGCATCTCGGCCGCGACCGACCTAGTCGTTAAAATGGGTAGCAACTGTTCCTTCGCCATGCGCTCGGCACTTTGAAGTGAAAGTTGCGGGTCCTTCGGATGAGACCTTAAAAACCGAGGCCCCGTGTCAGCGGCAGGCGTTGGCACGATAAAGATCCCTCACTGCTCAATGGCCCTGAGTGCCGAGTAAAGGTCAAAATTTGAAGCCCTTCACCGGCATACGGTGACGTCTCCGTATGAGTGAAAAATTCTCGAGAGGGACGTTAAACAATATATAATCAATCAATCAATCAAAGAATGCCAAGGCAAAATATGGCTGAAATAATACTGCTTCATACGCTGAGAAGGCCAAATGCAGTACTGCACTTATTAATCTGCGCAACACTGCTAATGTGATTTGTCGACGCATATCACAAGATAAAGATGACTTTAATTATTGAACCCTGCACTACTGGACGAAAAAAGTGCTGAGAATCCCAAATTTTACTGATAATGTTTGATAATTACTGATACGGTGCTGTTCTTGCTGATAATTACTGTTATTTACTGTTATTATTACTGTTGTTGCTGATAATTTTAGTTGTTGCTGATAAATACTGATAATTACTGTCGTCTTTTACTGTGGAGTCTGATAAATACTGATAAATACTGTTGAGGTACTGTCGCTGCTGAGAAATACTGATAATTACTGTTGAGGTACTGTCGATGCTGAGATTTACTGATAATTACTGTGGTCATTGTTTTTAACCTGGGAATGAATTAAAATAGCCTCTGAGAAATGATTATTATTATTATTATTTTTTTAAGTATTTTAACAAATTCATTACATTCAATTACAAAATAAATTATTTTAAATAAAAAAGTCACGTTTTATTAATTTGTTTTTAGTTTTCAGCTATTAATTTCATTATAATTATTTTTAGACCATAATGTTAACATAAGCTTTGAAATGTTTATGTTTTTTCTTACACGTAGATGACAGTATCTGAGGAAAATTATTCTATTGTATTTGCAGTGGTTTTTCTTCCCAAGTACTTTTTTAAAAAAAGTTTAATATTTGTTCATAAAGGTTAAAAAAATATCATCTCATATTTTTTCTCACATGTCTGTGTACTGTCATCTAAAGCTTTTTGTGGGTATCTTTAATACTTCAATACAGTCAATGCATGGTTGTAAATATCAATTTATTTTACCGTGTGGAGAACTGAAAATGCATGAGCACATTAAGTTGAAAACACCCCCCCCCCCCCTCTTTTCCATTTACTTTTAAATCAAGCTCTCATTTTAATAAGACAGTATTAAATATTTGTCCTAAAATCTAGTCTTGAAGCGTACACTTTGTTATTTTATAGAAGAATGTGACAGGGTTAAATAATTAAATTGAAGCATCTTTAATAATTATTTTTTTTTTATATATTATGTAGACAGCGCGCTCTAGACTAGTTCTCCGATGTCCTCCCTGTGAATTTATATCATTGTGTCGCTTTCTAGCTTCCCCCTCTCTCTCTCTCTCTCTCTCTCTCTCTCTTTCTTAAACTCTCTCTCTCTCTCTTAAATTATTTGTTAGGGCTTAAGTATTGTACACTACATGACATAAATCTTATGCAGTGTGATTTTCAGTTAATGAAATATATGTATACACGTCTTTCTTTATAGGCTTATTCTTTTTTTTCATTGTGTACAGTTTTAAGTCTATGGGCATATGGCTTCTAATATTATGC